GTATGTATGGTATTTTGAAATGTTTTCGCATACAAATGTATAGTTGTGAGTATGAGCACGAAGTATTTGCAGTGATATAGACGAAATGTGCCGACTTGGCACAATTTGCCATTCTTTGATTCATATATTTGTGAGAAATAAAAATTCTACTGTATGTTTGTATAGAGAATTATCACAGCCAGGCTGTCATCACCGGATATGGCAACATACTTACATATTTGTTTGTTTTAAATTTGACTTTGATAGCAGCTTTGCAAATTGTAAATATTGTTGTATTTTCATTTATGTATGTGCTTAAAACAGTCTCAGTCTTACTCATAAGCCAATAAAGCATGCAGAGGAAAGATTAAGGCATGCACTGGTGGCCAATGGGCAGATTATTGTTATAAACATACATATACATATGTATGTATGTACATATATCTAGATAAGTGCTAGTAGGTATTCAAATATGTATATGTAAATACCACACATTATACATGCATATTTATATATATATAGATGTTTATTTTTTTAATTGAAAATCTAATGCGTTTGGCGACGAAAACAATTTAAAAAATAAATTGACAAAAAAGCAAATAAGTTGCCTGTAGACAGTAGGAAAAATGTGAATTCTTTAAAACACACATAATTATTTAAAATTATTTGTCGCAATTATTTAAATAATGCTGATTGAATTCCCCTCCCACTGTAAGCTACTGTAAAAGTAAGCGAAGGCTGTTTTAGAGATTTTTTTTTAGAATTCATCGCAAAGCAATCTGAAGCAAAATAAACTCTACACAGCCACAGTAAAATTTTTCTGTAGTTATAATCAACTCCAGTACATGTATATATATATACACATAATTTAATATTATAGCGAATATTTTTTATAAAAAAAGTTTTTCTTATAGATATATATATATATATATATATGGTATATGGTATATATATATATATATGGTATATATATATGGTATATATATATACATATATATATATATATGTATATATAAAAATGGTATATATATTTATTAATATGTACATATATAACTCAAAGATAATCTGCAATTTTAGAAGCTCAAAAATTCCATTTGCTAAAATTCAAACGAAAATACAATACGCACATTTATAATTCACAGAAAGCTCGAAAAGCTTCGGTAATTATATAAAGAATGTATAAACGTTCTGAAGCCCCGAAAAAATTGAAACTAAAGCAATATTAGTATATCGATGGGTAAATATTTTCGTTTTTTTATTTGCACATATACATATATACACTGGTGGCAGAAATAATAAGGACAACCCCATTGGCTTACTTCAAAATCCAAGGTAACTCTTTAGCAGCATAGGTTTGAATCACTAGTCATCAGGCAACGTTGCTTGACAAGAGTACTTTTTTTTTAGAACTTATCTCGTTTTCTGTCAATTATTTGTAGAATATCGGTGTAAATGTTATTTTGTTTCAGTTGCCAAAGTTTTAAGCTGGCAAAAATATTAGGGACACTCAACGTAAATTTGTTTAAAAAGTAAAATATCGAATCAAAACAAGTCGAAAAATATTATTTTTTAATGGATACATTATTGATAGATAATAATCTGGGTTTTAAATTTGAAAATTATTGGAAGAAAACTAAAATATAGTGCCTTGTAACAGGAAATGGTGGCAAAACTATACAAGAAAGGAAAAGCAATTTTGAAAAAGCCAATATCATGGACTACACCAAACACATGGTATTTAATATTCTTCACCACGTGAACCAGAAATTGCAGCTAGAGGAAAGAAAAGCAAAACCTTAACCAGTTTCAACTAAACGTTGGTACGTTACGTCCAGAAAAATCCATTTAAAACTTCCATTGACTTGAAAATTTATGATGACATTCTACAAATAATTGACAGAAAAGAGATAGCCACAAAGTACTGTTATCAAGCATCGTTGCCTAGTGATTAGTGATTCAAACCTATGTTGGCAAAAAGTTACGTTGGGTTTTGAAGTAAAACAATAGGTTTGTCTCTATTATTTCTGCCACCAGTGTATATGTAGATATGTACATATGTATGCATGATTATATATTTATGTTTTGTTTTTGTTGGAGATACAACAAAAATGTAATTGTTGTAGATATTAACGCAGAAAGCCGGCAGAAACCAGTTTGAAATTTCTGCAACTTGGACACTTAATTGGCGGTAGGGTACATGGGTTAAACATATAATTGAATTATTATTTAAAGAAATTTGTATGCACACAAAGCGGTTATGTGATTTAATTGTTTAAATTAAATTTGACAGATTTGATTTGATAAGTACATATAGCAAGTAAGAATTTCATTTTAATGACTTGCAAAATAAATCGTTGACTAATCTAGATATGGTACTTCAATTATTGCAATATTCACAACTGCAATATCTGCAATTTTTCTTAGTTTCAGCAGAAAATAAGAAGTATAAAGAATTTACTTAGTATATTCGTAAACAAATTCATTGTCCCCCCGCGACTACATACATACATATGTATGTACGCATTTTAATAACGTCGAGTCAAAGTAAACAATGAAATCTGATATATGGAGCTACAAAAAACTTTGAGTCATCGCGATGTCTTTGCATTAAAAATTAAGTATAAGTAAAACCTTATTTATTTTCTGGTACACATGGTTATACAAGTGTAGGACTCAATAAAATATATCTGCTGTATGTATTTTTTTCATATTATAAATGAATTTGCCTGAAATACTATATAAATCACGATTTTTACCGACACTTAAAATTTCTGCGATCTAATGACTGAAAAGGTTAAGTAAAGTTATTGTCGTTTTAGTAACGTAAAAATATTTGTAAGTTCCATTAGAATGCTGCCCAGTTGATTTTACTTGAACGGATAAAGGACTGTCGTGGAATCGGGACCAAATTCATACATTATATAAACAAAACAACTATCCTTAACGAATATATTTTCTTCATAAATAAATCATTAATGCTTTAATATAAATATTTTACTGTATAAATAATGCACTTGTATATTACACATACACATTTGTATGTATATGTAATTCATATTTAATCATATAAATTAATAATTTAGACTTTAGAAATCATATGTATTCTTTATAAATAACATATTTTAGGACCGAAAGAACCGTCTAATAACACATTTTCTTTAATTTTAATAATACCATTGACGTTGTATTATTACTGACTCCACATTACATATTAATTGATAACAACCGAGAAATACTTACATTGAGCTACTACTGCATTTTGTCTTAAAACAACCTTTTTTTTTTGGCAATTTGCCAACCGACATGCGCGCTACTAAATTTAATAATATTTCTTAGTTATTGTCCGTAAGTTTTTAGCATATCAGATAGTTTTATTTTCAGTTTATTAACAACATCAATATTTAAAACTAAGCATATATCTAAGTACCTACATATTTATATATAACTGCATGTACTTACTTAAGTTTTGTAGAGTCGGAAGAGTATGTAAATGTGGTATTGCCCTTGTTTTCTGTAGGAACGTTTTCGACTATTCTAGGCACTACATCGTCAACTGGCGTTAATATTGCTCCACTTAATAAATCACTTTTACTTTTGATTTGTGCACAGCTACCAATACAAAAGCATTCTAAGAGAACAATTAAAGACAGCACAAGTATGGGAAGGCTTTGAATTTTTGAGTGTATAAAGGGACAAGTTGGAGCACTATAATTGCTATTCAAATGTTGAAACATTGATTTTCCACTTTTTTCATTCGACAATGTGGACCCCAGCAATAGCTCTGGAGCTAGTAGACCACTTGAGGAAGCTAAACACCGAAACGAAGAGGTATTTGAGCCTTTGGATGCCTTCTTCTGTAAAAACTGTTTATTTCTAGTCCGTATTTGGCTTTTGTATGACTTTTCTGCTTGTATTTGCATTTTGAACTTTTATTTAACAAACTTTATTTAAATAACTTGGTAAAATTCACTTCTCTACTTTACAAAAACAATCAAAAACTACAGGAACACCAAATGATACACTACACTTAACGAACAATTTCCAACTGTCAAATTCCACGACTTTCCACTGCTTTTATCTCTGTGCTGCTACGTCAGAGTTGCATTCAGTGTTGTCAGAAATGATAACTTCGCGCATATATTGAGGAATTTGTGATAGTTAATATACCGGACTTCCAATATACAATTTATAGCATTGAGTTTTTACTTAAATACAAAGTTGTTATTACAGTTGAACATAATTACCTTCAGTGGCAAATTTAACTTACTACATTCAGTAGTTTCTTTAAAACGAATATATAAATTTGCTAACTCAAAACAATTTTAAAAACATATGTACGTATATATGTGGCCACACGGAAAAGCATACATCGATAAAAATAAATATCGCCCATCCATAATTACTTTCGGCTTTTGTTTTCTAGTAAAATATTGCCGTTTGTACATATATGCACCGATATCGTTAAATAATTATGTTGCCTAGTGATATTAGGGTAAGTTTTCGCGGTAATTCGGACAAACTTTGAATTAAGCTAAGTACGAAGCGTTTTACGACTTGATATGCAGTGTTTGTGTTAAATTGGCATTTTATTTGAAACCATATTGGACTTAACTGTATGTACTTATGTATACACATAATACACATCTACAAATATTATAAGGTTCGTGACGGTTTTTATCATCAAAAAAAAATTTTTTATATACCACCACATGTGATGTGCAAATTACAATAAACAAATAAGAAAAAGATTTAGTGTAGAGAGAATTCCTATGCAAGTCAAATTTGTATTAAAATTGTAAACAAAAACCACGTTAAATTTCTGAAATAAATATGGGGAAAAATATCAGAGTTGCCCATCATTTTGCTTGGCATTGCGTCAATAACTTTTTATGGGAAAATACTTATACAAAAGGGTACATAAAATGTTCTGTCAAAACATATGTCTGACGCAAAAGTTCTATATGAATTGGCATTAAGAAAGAGTTGAACGATCACACGTACACATGAGTTAAGGTGGTTTTATCAACTAACTAGACCTTGAGGAACCCATAGAAACTTTCGTATGTCGTGTACGTCAATTTTTATGTCATTCTCTTTCCCTGATTATGAAGAACGTCATATTTCCCTAATTTTTCTGTCATTCTCTTTCCCTGATTATGAAGAACATCATATGATGTTCTAAAAATTTTATAATATGAATACACGTATTTTGGGGATATATATGCGTGATCTAAGCCTACTCGGGAACCGAGCAGCTCAAAATATTATCGAAGTGCAAAATAACCCAAAGTTATTTTTAAAATACTCAATTCATTTTCTTTTGACAGTGGCATGATTGACAAATGTTATAAAAAATGTGGGTTTTAACAGCTCTCCCTTGAATCGAAGGGTTTCGTATCATGTCATCCTTGTAGCGGTGAATAAAAGCGTTCCACTATATAAACTTCGATGTTGCCACCATTCTAACCGTTAATTTGCCAAATCTTAGCCCAAATAATTCTCTAACTTTCACAAAGAATATTGATTTTGGAATCAAAATAATAATAATATCAGGGTTGTTGTAGAATCTGATAGTTGTCGGAATCAGAATTGATACCGATAAACAAATTTAATAGGTGTCATGAATTCAGATATTATTGGTTTGATGTTCAAAAGAAACAATGTATCGGCTTTGGGTATTACGGAAATTAATTTTAGCGGTTTTGTTATCAGAAACAAAGCAAGCAGTTTATAGCTGACAGATTTGAAATTTGAGTTAAGAAATAAATGTATGTGATTATTACGAATCAACATATCTCTATTTCTATTGGAGATAAAATAAGAATAAAACACAAAATGTCATAATTATGGAGTATATGGAAAAAAATCCATATATATTAAGAGAGCATTTACAAAACGTAATTTAACACCATAACAAATGCATCTTTATTCAGTCCATAATGTAATATAAATCTGTAAAGTAAGCAAGTAAATACATATAAGCATACAAGTAAATGTAAGCTAAATTTGACTCAGGATTCCTCTCGGACATCAAGTGGATTACTGTGATCTCTTAAAATCTTTCTTTTAATCTTTTGGTTGGTTCCAAATTTATTTAATTGCAAGTTTTGTCACATTAGCAAACAGCTGATTAGAATATTGTTTTTGTATATGTTCGAAATTACGAAAATCCAATCTGATTTCTCACAACTAAGCAAATCTGTCTTGTATTCAACAACAACCCTGATTAGTTAATAAAATTTTGTTAGTGCATAGAAATAAGCAAAAATGGCAACTCTTTGTAATAGAAGTGGTTATGTTCCACAATAACAACGACAATGTGTATTCTATTTATGCAGTTATGTTGTATATATGTTTGTAAAACATTATATATTTACTTATGTACGTTACATTAGGTTTCGTTATTTGTTGCGGTTAGAACAAAGTACAGTCCTCTGATATGCAGTAAACAGTGAGGTTTCCCGTGCAGTGAGTTATAAATTGTAAATACCGTACATTTTATTTGATAGTGCTAATATTTATATATTTTTAATTGTATTGAAATCTAACACAAGGCGTATTCAATTTACATACGCGATAATATTTGCATTAAATTATGTGTATATTCATACCTATGCACATACACAGACGTATAATCATGCATATGTACATGTACATACATACATATGTGCATTGCTACATATGTATATAAAATTGGCATATACATACATTCACTAATACTATAGTTGGTCAGATATAATGGCAGTTTGTAAGCGATATTTTTGATTGCTAGAGTTGGTTATAACGTAGTTTTATAAAGTTAAGAACATACTTGGCTGACATACTTCTAGTTGGTATACTAGAATGATAGAAATAAATTCGATTTGAATTGTTTCGATTCCATATGCTTGTTAGTCGTGAAGTTAAGGGTAAACGAACGAGAAGGTGCAACAGCGAAAAGATGACAAAGGGAATAGGACTACTTCGTGTTAAACAAGGCGCATTTAAAAAGAAAATTTTTGAAACAGTTAAAATCTATTTTTAGAAACCAATAGTTTTTTTTATTTTTTGACATGTGAAGAATCTTCCGTTAAATTTTTATGGAAAAATATTAAAAAATGCCGCAATACGTCATTGGTTACAAATTATTGTGTTTTGAATTTAAGAGTCCTATTCCTTAGAAGTCTTGTATGAGTGCCTGGTCATAGCGGAATCACTTTGAGGTTGACTTCGTAAATGTACTATTGCAATGTACGGATACAGTTTGATTATAGTTTTTATACATCATCAGCATGGAAAGGATAACAGCATATCGCACACTAAATACAAAAGAGTCACAACTCAAACAATTTCAAAACTAGAAAATCAATAATATTTAAGTAAGACGCTCTTTGAAGAAGATATTCTACATTATGGACAACGATTTGTATGTAAAATTTCCATAATTTTCACAGAAACTTTTTTTTTCTCCTGACCATTTGCCATTTTTCGAGTAATCTGTTGAATTTAGTGTGCGATATAGGGTGCGTTTCGATTAAAACAAACAAATTTTCAAGAAATACATTAAAAAATCTGAAAATTTATTTCTTTCCTTAGCGGCACCACTCACAAATGTTATAAAAAATGTGAAATTTGACAGCGCTCTCTCGATTCAAAGAGTTTCGTATCATGTTATTCATGGTAATAATTACAGCAGTATAGCAACAGTGTTGCATATGTGCTGATCCTCTGCTGATGTGCAGACAAAAATTTAGTGTTGTCGATTATTTACATATACACGCAAAAAGTGACAGTAGAACGTAATGCCATTGCAAGTGTTGTCAGAAATCCACACAGAACGTGATACTTTGACAAATTCGCATCACTGCTGTCGTCAGTGCCATCTCGAACGCACCCATCTACTCACGAGATGTTGGTAGATGTACTCAAGAGTTTAAGTTAAAAAATGGTTACTGTTAGTTATGATGAAAACTCGTATCATGTGTTTAACTCAGGCGATTATTAAACTTTTCTTATTTGGTTATTGTTGCACGTCATAAGATCATTTGGACTGTTTTTATACCATTATTACAACATAGCTTTCATATATTTCATTTGCACATAATAGCATCTAGACATACATATTTCCATACCACATACTTATTATAAGAGTGTAAAAAAAAAAATCAGAAGTGTGATACATGAACCTGTTATGCGTGTACGTCGTACACGTCGAAAGTTTCAAACTAAACGCCAACAATAAAAGCAGGTAGGTTTTAATACCAAATGGAGGAAAAATGCCGACGCCGCCGTGAAGTTCATTGTTTCATCGTGGCTCAACCAAAGGGCTACCATAATGGTAAAGTACAGTGTCTCACAGCCTGTTTCATGGACTTTTATACTGTGAAAAGTAATGTGATAGTATAGACAAACTAATACAGTAAGCGAATAAATCATCGCAAGACGAAATTTAGCTGCCGAGAAAGAAATTTGCTACCGCTATAACCGAACATTTTATACTCTCGCAAGGACTAAAGCCGGGGAAATAGTTTCAATTGTTGGCAAAACTTTATATTAATGGTGCGAAAGAATTCAACATTCATTATTCGACGAAAGGGTAAAAGGATTAGAATCATGTTTGGTATCTTATTAACTTATATTATAGGACGTCAGCTCACTTAGTCTCATTACCCTATTTTGCTTTATATCCGAGATATTGATATTAAAATCAACCTAGTTAACTCAAATAAGATATAGAACTGTACCAAAGAGGCTAAATTTTATATCTTGGGTATATGAGAAAAAAATAAACTAGTGAAACGGAAATCATTATATTAGGAATAAGGGGCTTAGACAATATTCTAGACCAATTTCAAGTAAGGAAAGTATTGATCCAATTTAATAAATTTTTGACAAGGAAATACCATGAAGAGATTATTTATGAATTTTGATAATATACAGCTGTGTTCACAAAAATAGCAGTGCGAGAAATGCAATCAAGTAATGTTATTTTTTTTCAAGTTCCGTTACGATTATTCCAACGTCTACGCATTGTTGTTGTAGAATGGAATGTGTATAAGAAAGAAACGAAAAAATCCCGTTAGATTTGCGAGATTTAAGCAAATGAACAACTCTTTTTGCCAGAAGCACCAGTCTTTGGCTGTTCATTAAAATAGCAGTGCGTATCTTGATAGGCCAAAAAAATTTTGTTAAGACGTTTAATTGATAAAAAGTAAGTGGTTTTGTGTTAGTGACTATTATTAACATTAGAAAACACTAAAATAAATTTATATTTTTTAACTTAGTGGGCAGGGGCAAACATTGTACTCCTACTAAGAAACCTGGGAAAAACATATAAAGACATCCAAGAAATATGTGGATGTTCTGCTAAAATGATTCATAATGCTTTAAACTTTAAAGAAATGCCCGAAAATCGTGGTATCCGATGTGAAACCACGCCTCATGAGGACCGATCTATTGTGCGATATAGCAGGGCGCAGCCTTTTGCATCGTCCAGCAAGATAAAAAATGACT